TGGTAAAAATAATGTTATTTTTGAATTCTCATGTCCTTTGAGCAATTGTATCTTCAACACTAACCATCAACAAACAACATTAAATGCTTACATTGGTCACACATGCACCAAACTATATTGTAAATTGATTTGTCATTTGTCAACATTTAGTGCAATTTACACAGATACAAATCAGTATATATATATATATATATATATATATATATTAATCAATTCACCCCAAGCAAGGTGATAATGCGACTAAGATGCAAGGGAAGTAAAGAGAAGGAAAAGACTTTAAAAAGAACCAGAAACCCAATAAATTTCAGAGTCTAGGTGGAGACATTAGAAGTATAGAGTTGAAGAAAGAATTTAGAAAGAACAGAAAACGAGGGATAAACCTCTACTTCTGTTCAAAAGACCAAGGAGGAGTGTGGTGAACTGGATGACATGTAAAATTTACATACAAACATATATATATATATATATATATATATATATATATATATATATATATAGCATCAAAACACATATATAAATGTGTGTGAGTATAAAAGAAACAAGCAGGTGTAAATATAAAACTAGCCATATTCGAAATACCAAGATCTGAATTGTGCAAAAAGTTGCAATTCTTTTACAAACAATTCCTATTCAAAATTAGTTTCCTCTTTCACCTGGCCCTAACCCAAGCTCATTTCAAAACATTTCATTTTTCCATCTCAATTCTTAACCCCTACCCCTATCAACTCCACCCACTCTGTTATGTCCGCCCATTCTGGATGAGAAATCTCCCAATTACTCTTTGCCTGTTCTGGCACCAGCTGTGGCCATCCATAGTGGTCAATGACCCTTCCCCTCTCCCCACAACAATGCCATCCCTCTTTTCTTCCTCCTCCTCCTTATTTAACATGCCAGTTATTTTGTCTTCAGCCACTAATCGCTCAGATTAATGGCTTTCTAACAATGCAGGTGGTGGAGAGAAGTTTGGGGATTGAAGGTGAGGAAGCGGTGAGGAAGCGGTGAGGATGGGGAGAGACCGAGAGAGCATGCCACCCTGAGACGCCTGCTTTCTGTTGTCTTTAGAACTGATCAATAGTTTTTCATTACTTCTGCATGTGTGAAGCTCTCCCTACACATTAGATATGTGTGAGCGTTTGTCTGCATATGGAAGAAGAGAGAGTGAAGAGGGAGAGGAAGAAAAGAAAGAAACAAGCAGATACAAGGAGGGGTTAAAAGACATACTTTTCATTGGTCTGCTAACACACTTGTGTATACTTTTTTTTTTTTTACAATAATGTTCACCCTATACAAGACCCAAAAGCTACTCAAGGTAAAAGGCATGGTTTATAAGCATATGTGGGGAAGATAACAGTTAACCCTAGACTTGAACAGGTTAAGATTTTAGTGGTCAGGGAAGCAGCCTCTTGAGAATCGGTTCTGCAAAGTGGAAAGAAACTGAAGAACTTAGATCTCACAAATTGAATACAAGGACAATGTGTGTGGCATGGTGAGTATTAGCCATGAAGATTATAACTAGTGGAACTAAGGAATGTAGTTCATTAGGACACTTTCCATGGAAATAACAATAACAAGTAGAAAAAGGCTTGCCACATTTTGTCTATGGGAAAGCGGCTGCACTGTTGAAAAAATTCATCATCCACAAAGTCATGCAGACACTTTTTGAACACTATCAATTATAATATTTCTGATGAGCTGTCCTCTAGTGTCTAGACTTTATAAATTTAAGTGCAGTACTAGATTGGTGGTTAGGTCTCATTTTACTGTTGAAATGGCTAGATGTAACCGTAAATTCTATGCTAATAGTTTCTTTCCTCGCATTTCTCTCTTGTGGAACTCCCTTCTAGCTTCTTGTTTCCAAGTTAACTTTGATCTTCAAAAATTCATATTCAATGTCAATCATTATCTTGTGTCTTCGTAATTATTGTTCTTTATTGTATATTTTCTCATATTCTCTAATACTCAGTAACCCCTTGCATCTTAGTGCTTTTATTGCCTTGCTTCACTGATAAGAAATTCTGTTTAGAATGAATGTTGTATAATAAGTTAGCCTCCACTCAGAAATGTGAAAAACCAGAAAAATGATTTGAACCAAAGAAAAAATAAATAGAAAAAACTAAAACAAATGTACTTTCAGTCATCTTCAAACAAACATTCATATCTGTCTGTCTATCTATTTATTTATATATCTATATATATATATATATATATATATATATATATATATGTTTCATTGAATAATATGAACATATTGTGTCTATTTTTATAATGATCCTTTCCAGTTCTTTAATCAGTTTCTTGATGTTAAGATGAAATTCATCAAGTCAGGTGCTGCAGTTTTTTCTAACCTGAGTACTTTTAAACTTTTCCAAGATCATCCTCAGGGATAAATTACAAAGACTGTAACTGTGATAAAATCTGCATTTAATTGTGATTTTTTAAAAAACATGCACAAATATGCTCTGTTATAGTTATTTTAAAATTTTTATTTATCCATTGTAGTTATGCAATTTTTTGCTAAAGAAGCATTTCGATATAAGGGAGATGACCAAAAATTGGTAGAAATGCAAAATGGCATTAAAAAAATGTTTTTTATATGCACTTCAATACGTTGCTGCTACACTCATAATAAATTTTATTGAGTGTTACTTGGTTGATTTTGATATAGAAGGCCTCAAGAAATTGAACTAATTCATCAACTACAGAGCCATGTAGATGCCTTTGAACTCTCTCAAGGCTGGAATGGGAGCATTGGTCACCTACAGCCCAGATATTGGTCTGATCTGATGCTTCTAAACATAGATAGCTACATGAATGAAACTTTACCTGTCTAATGTTCTAGTAGTAGTCATTTGAAACTATGCCTTGTTTCATACTCTTTCAGAATGAGGTGTACATATACAAGTCTTCTGGAATTACTAACTCAATTCTCATTTAGGACAGGAATTCTCAGATAATAGTGTCTTGTGATTTGGAAAGATGTTCATCCTCAGTTCGTCCTGCATTCTTTTTCATCCTGATTACAGTCTTCTTGGTGGCACCAAAATGGTAGACAAAAAAAAAGTTGCCATTCTCTTTCCCCTTTATTGGCTAACTTACTCAAAAAGACAAGAAAATGGCTTTAATGTACAATGAGACCTTGTATACAAGATGTAGAAATTAGATAACAAGATGAGGCTGATAAAAATTACATATTTTTTTAAGTGGAACTAATTGTGTTAAAGTAATTGGGAGTAATCTCCCTTGTTTCATGATTACCTCCCTTTGGAGAACTCTTTCATTTGTAGAGGACTATAAATAATCACAACATTGATATCAATAATTTTAAGCAGAATAAAACTTCCTTAAGCCTACTCTTGCTCTCTTTTTTGTTACACTAATATCCTTATCTTTGTTGTTATTAGCATGTTTTATTCATTGACAACTTCTGTACTTCTTCAGGTGTCTGTAAATCCAGGTAGTCTTCAGAGTATTTCTAACTGAACCCTTTATTTAATCAATGGTTCTCAATTTGCTGTGCATGATCTAAGAATATCTTGTTGGAGGTTAGAATGAAATAACCGTTGAGATAATAACAACAAAGATGAAGACATTAGTCCAAATATAAATAATATCAATAATGTTAACTACTTATTCCAGAAATTCAGGTAGAAATATTTTTTAATAAGTCGGGCCACATGATAAATATTGTCCAATGGGAAAAACAAAAACAATATCACAAAGTTTCAATCTGATCACATCTTCTGTTCACTGTTATGCATTGTTTGAAGCTGACATGTTTTTCTGACATGTCATAAAAATGGTCAGTTCCAAAACAACACTTTACATCAAGCTGAATTTTTTTATGAAATTGAACAAAACAGCTATAAAATTAGTTTTTCCATACAAACAGAAGTTTATAGAGAAGATTTACATCTCATGAGTACATGTGTTTGAGTGGCACAAGTAATTATGTAATGGTTGAAGATGGATTCCTATGGATGTCAAGAATATTAAATGGAGTTAGATTCTTGTTCTGCTGTTCATGATCTATGGATATCTCAGTGGAGACCACAATGTCAAAAACATTGTGATAATAATATCAAAGATGAAGGTATTACTCCAAATATAAATAATGCAAATAATAACAACTCTTAATACCAGAAATTCAAAAAGAAATGGTCCTTAGTAAAAGTTGGATCACATGATATACATTGATCAATGAGAAAATATAAATATTATTGGGGAAAATGTATGACAAAGAGAAAAAAGTTTACTTGTGACATGTTTCGTCCTTCAGGATTTCATCAATGAATCAGTGTCATGATGATTTCAGAAATGATATTCATTAATTAAGAAATTGTTATGTAAATCTTACATAAAGATCTGAAAATGACAGAAGTTTGTGTGAAAGTTGTCCCAAATAACTCTGACACTTGTTCAAAAAGAAAATTTTCCCCAAAGACTCTGACACTTTATCAAAAAGAAAATTGCAAATGATTTTGTATGGATATTTTGGAACAAAATAATGGTAATATTAATTGTTTCCTTATTAGGAAACATTTGGTCTTCATTGACTGAGCAGCTCTTTGCAGAATTATTATTATTTGATAACATAACACAGATGTAATTAATAGCAGCTGCACTTTTGTATATTCAGTCAGTCAGTTAAGTGCCATACATGATAAATGCTTAGGCGATCATGTCTCTTTCAATTCATCAAGTTTTTCCCACAATAGGTTGTCATTTCTTTCTGCAGTAGACTGGTTGCCAACCAAGGCTACATGAGACAGTGTGTTCTGCTATTCAACCCATAGCTGGGGGATAGGAGATAGATTCATACCTTTCCCGAGGCTATTTGTGTGTAAGTGAATGCAACAAACTTGACTGGAATTCGAACTTGGCTTTCTGTTTTCTCATTCCAAGCTGATATCCATTACACCTAACACACATCCCTTTTGTATATTAGGTCGACATATTTCTTTCATTGACATTGCTACTTCTGCTTCTTTTTTCCGCCCCAGCTTCCACACACAATTCTGAGACCCCAGCACCACACCCAAATCGGTTGCGGCCCATGTCAAGATATAAGCCATTAGAGAATATTACCACTTCTTCAGCCCTAAAACCAAGCAGCCAGGTAAGTGCTTTATATCTCGTACTTTCTGCAGGTTATTTTGTCCATCACTAATAACTTCATAAAAATCTTCTGCCTCACAAGCTATGTCTGTGCACATGTAGGTTTCATTGAAATGTTTCTTTTAGTTTTAAACATATGTTGTGTATGACCTACAAATTGCTTTACTCATTGTCTCCATGAAATTAAATGTGCATATTTATCTTCCAAATTTCAGCAAACATGGACAAACATACCTGCAATGAGACAGAATGTCAAAAGGATGGTTTTCCCAATGACATTGTTTTTTTTAAATACCTTCACTCTTTACCTGCAAAGTATCCATTTGACATGCCATTTGGTAGTTTATTGTTTTAAAAAGTGATGATTAGAATTGGAATAAAACCTAAACACACAATGAAAGTGAATTAAATATATATTTTTTGTTCTTGAGTATTTACAACAAACACTAGTTAATTTTTAGATTGCTTATTTACAAGAATAATTTTTTTATTTACAACATTCTAAAAACTAATACAATTAAAATTAATGCAATGCAATATTTATCATTTACCAATTTATAAAGAAATAAATGTGAAAACAATTTTGTATTCATAAATTTATAAACATTTACTAAATTATTAAAAAATGTGGACCAACTATAAGGAAATTCCTATTATTTATCATTTTATAAAGTTCAGACCAATTGGCAATTAGCCAATGTTTTGCCAACCATTGAAATAAACAATAAATAATGAAATAAATTTAATAAACAATCTAATAAATAAATAGTGTTTATTATTTTATTTTCAATTCTCAGGAACAAAGAATATGAATAAATTCACATTCATATGTTTAGGTTACAATTTTAATCATTAATTTTTAAAACAATAAACATTGCTGAAGAGTGAAGGTATTTAAAAACAGTGGCATTAAAACAAAGTATCCATTTGACATGCCATCTTATTGTAAAAACGTTTATCCATGTTTAACCAAATTTCAATATTGTCAATGTGGAACTATGTAACCCAGAAAAACATTCTTCACTTTTCCCAACAGATGTTAAATTATAATATTATCTCGAATTTTAATTTTTATTATATGTAGCATTGTCTACTATTACTAATTTTTTATTAGTATTTGATGAAATTTCCAGAGAAATAACACAGCGATGTCTTGTTCCTGAAGATGACTAGAGATTTCTCAAAAGTGCCAGAACTGCCTATAAAAACCATGGACAATTTCTGAAAAATCTTGGACCAATTATTTCTTCCCTTGTATGAAAAAAAGCACTTACAGCCATATCATATTAAAACACAAGATCTTGTCTGATCACCAAACTTAAGCAATGTTGAGCCTGGTGATCACTTGGGAATACCAGGTGCTGTAAGCCCCTATCAACATACATTGGGCTAGAATAGTAGGGTAATGACCTATTCCTCACCATGAACAAAGGGAAAGATTTGGGGAGGGAATTTCCTTGGTCAGTTTAGTTTGAAAACAAAAGAAACTACATAAAATTTAGCTGAATGTTTCTTTCCTGTCTGGGGTTCAAATCTCAACTTTGTTGATTTGTCAGGGAAGTGATCACTTGATTTTGTTAATCTGAGGAGGCAGCTCCAGAAATGCGGCACTATTGAGATGTGCCTGAAAACCATACCACAGGTTGATCCAAGTCATATTATTGGGTAGACTAAGCTGTTTGGAAGCCACTGATGGTTATTCTAGTAGAAAGTAACAAGTCCTCATGACCAAGTGTTTGGATGTATTGGCCTTGTTCAAACTACTGATTATGCCATGTACTCTCTTCCAGAATTGTAACTAAGGTCCACTCAGCATAGTTGCAATATGAACTGCAGGTGGGCTTGGTAGATGTTGAGCAAATAACACAAATTTGCTACAGATGGGCATCCACTACAGGAACTGGTGAGCTGCTCTAGCAGATGGGGTGGGATTGTAAAAGAGTACCTGGCCATTATATATATATATATATATATATATATATATATATATATGTGTATATTTTGGAAGCATGTTTTCATTGAGACATGTTTCGTTGAATAATTTAGACAAGGTTTGACTACTTATTTTAAACAGGATCTTTTCATATTCATGAACAAGACTTTTGGTGTTGTTATTAAAATGAGAGAGAGAATTACCATTTTCATACATATTGCTTTTATCCTGGGTACTTTCAACATTAGCACAATGTCATCATCAGTGTGTTGTTCTTTAAGACAAAAAATATAGTGATTATTATTTTCAAAGACAAAATTGCTGTGTGCATCTGATAGTTAGAATTTTTACTTGTGAAGTGAGTAACACAGTTTGGTACCATGCAGTAAGCATAATTAATGCTCCAAGGGAAGTATGCAGTATTCGTAATTAATTTTGTTAAGGTTTGGTTTCAATTTTTTAATATAAATAGATTCAAGAATTTATAGTTTATGTTTATTATTTTCATGAAGAAGTATGGATGTATTTTTAATCTGAATGCACAAAGCTTTTAAAATGTTTACAGTAGATATTCTAAAATATTGAGGTTTGTACTAATAGTTTCTATATTTATTTCTTTTTTTCTTCTAAAAGAATTCTTCACAACCTCATAACTTAGTTACCTCCCAAAACTTTTCAATGAAACATGTTTTAATATATATATATGTACGTGTATATGTTATTGTGTATGTATGTTTATATTTGATTTGTAACCTGTAGTCGATATTAATTTTGTCAAATTTTCTTAATTATACAGCGGCCCTTTCAGTAAATGCCCTTCAGTTTTAGTTTCCCCCACCCCATCTCTCTCCCCCACCTCTTTTTCTTTTCTTTTCCTCTCCCTCCCTCTTCTTCTGTTCTTTAAGATTAGATCGTCTATTGTGAGTGTATGTCACCACAAAATGTATCCTTTCCGGTTACATCTTTAATGTATTAGACATCCGACAACATTCATATTTCTCTCACTTAAACCGTCTTTAACTCACCTCTCTAAAACTTCTCTCTATTAAGTTTTAATCTTCCACCTTCTCTCGTCTGTCACCCCTCTCTATAGCTCTAACATTCGTCCCACACTCTCATACTTACACTCTCTCTAAATTCTATTTTTTATTTCTGAAGTTGTTTTTTCTGTTTTCTTTTTGAATTTGTAGGTCTGATGAATTGGATCGTATTTACGATTCCAATGGAATAAATTATGACCATGGAATATTAGTGTTTAAGCCTTTTTATTATTATATATATATATATATATATATATATATATATATATATATATATATATATATAATATGGGAAACTATGATTGTTATTTAAATTGTTTATTAGCATGAAATGTTAAATGTTCTCCTTTATGAAGGCTTCTTCAGATGTGGCAAAATTTATTTAAAGTATCAGAGGAAGTATCAGTTTAAATAGCTCAGATAGACATAAACAAATATTTTTTAAGTGAAAGAAACAAAATCTCTTGTTGCTGTTCTCCTAGGCAAAACACACTGATCATTTTGAATTTGTCTTGGAAACTGAGATACCATATGTTGATGTTTATCATTTGAAATTGTTGCCATGTCAACAATGCTAAAAACAAACATCTGCCAAAAGTCATGGGAGAGCAGTATGTTGGTCACACATACGTACCTTAACATCATTGGTTGGGATCTGACCTCTGGCAAATCAATGTGGACAAATGACAAGGTAAAATGATTGGAGTTTGAAAGGATAATGATTAGTGAGTGCCTGATGGATGAGACATTCCATTTTCTGAAATTGTGGAAACATCCCTGGGAACAACTTATGTCCACCCACAGTAGACAGTGCATTGGCCGATCACAGGTGTGACCAGAGGTATCTGGCAGGAATTGTGTGTGCCAACAAATGACACTGATTCAAATCACAGGTGGATAGTTTGGTCATTTTTTGTCTCCATTGGATATGGGGGCACTAGGGTCCTCCTGTTTACACTATGACACTAGACACAATACAAACACCAGTTCTTGTACAATCACTGAAGTTAAGCAACATCAAAACTAATCAGTACCTAGATGAGTGACCACTTTGGAATACCATGTGCTGTAAGCTTGGATATGTGGCTGGTGTAATAAATAATGTCTTGGGAGCTGAGTTCCAAATCCGATCAGGTTCCTTACATTCACTTACATGCAAATATCCTTGGGAAAGGTATGAATCAAGCTCTTCTACCATACCAGCTAAGGGTTAATTAATAGAACTTGTATCAATAAATCATTATTATCCCTCTAAATATTCTTACAATCTAAAAGTATTTTCTGGCTTTAAATAACCTGCAAAAGGTTGAGAAACCATAAAAAAATCACTTAATCTAGAAATGACATCTCATCTGGGTTATTAACATTGCTAATTGTACCCTGGAGGATTAGTAATGCGTAGCTTAGTTCAATGATTCATGCTCCCATTTGTTCTTAGCTGATAATATGGATTGTCCGTGGTGCAGACGCTATGAAGTCACGGACCCAATTTTCAACAAGGAACCATGGTGCTGTTTCTAGGATGGTGTTGGACATGTCTATGTGGCATTGGTTTGGTCTGCTAATCTACCTAAATCCATCAACTGACCAGTAATTACTACATTGCACTTCTTTGAGACCATATAGGCCCATTCATGGACTTCACATAGTACTAAAGGAATGGGTTATTCCATCAGGATAAGGCACAAAGTCACCAGCCTCAAATTGCCCAGAATTGGTTTGAAAAACATTCTGGAGACTTTCAATGTATAGAGTGACCATCACTATTGTCTGACATGAGCCAAATCGAACATAGTAAGGAGGTCTGTTTGCATGCAAGATCCTACACTGACAAATATCAGGAAGTTGTGAAGATATTATCAGAACAGTATGGTTCCCCATTTCTCTAGAAGTCTTCAAATCATTTGTGGAATTGATGCTATGTTGAATTGCTGTACTTTAAAAGGCTAGAGGAATTCCTACACAATACTCAACAAGATTTTAGGTGTTATGTCAATGTACAAGTCCAGATAATTCATGAAATAATGTATTAAACATGTTTTGCTATCTTTACCTCTGAACACATATGGCATCTGAAAAATATGGTTTTATGATTATAATTATTATTCTTAACAGGGATGGGCTGCCAGTTCAATGGCCAAACCTTCAACTGGTGAGGAGGTAAGTCATTATATTCTTTATCTTCAAAAATATGTTTTACTTTTTCACTATGTAGACCTGAGATTTTATTACTTAAATGTTTTTTTTAGTGAATACACATATTAGAGTAGATCCTCCATCTATTTATTAAATTATTTTTTTTCCCAAATATTCAAGAAATATCTAGAGTTTGTCTATATTTCTGAGATGAGGTATTATGTACAGTATTTACATTAGTCGGACTATTGTCTATTGGAAATTCCAACCACCTGAAGAAGGCCGGAGCGTACAACGGCCGAAACGTTGTGACAAATATGGCGACAAAGATGAGGACAATAGTCCGACTAATGTAAATACTGAAGAAATATCTAGTTAGGTGCTCCTGCTACTCATCTTGTGGTTCTTGACAAAATATAAATAAGGATCTGTAATACAGGGTTATACAAAAAGAATGAATCAATTTCATGATGCATTGCTTCAGTTCTCAAGCATCATCATGGAACGAGTCAGTGACTATTTGAAAGAGGAGTTTTCTAAGTTTTGAATGGCTTCCACAGGGGTGCTGTAGCTGTGTCATATCTCTGGCAATGTTCAGGTGTTTGTTTATCCCTGGAATGACGAGTCCCCAGCAAAAGGCATTCTGCGTTCTTGAGTTTGCAAAAACAAATATGGTTGTAATGCAGCAGTGTGCTTTTCAAAGCGAATCTGACATTAATCCACCCTCTCCTAAGAACATTCGACGATGGTTTAAACAGTTTCAAGAAAGTGGGTGTTTGTGTAAAGGAACAAGTCCAGGACAACCATGAGTTTTAGAGGAACAGGTGGCAAGAATCCATGCTGTATTTGATTTTGACTGAATTTCTTATTAGAGGAACCATTGTGAACAATTATCATTCATTTTTAACGGTTATTTACTTTCAACTCAATTTCTTATTAGAGGAAGCATTGTCAACCATTATTATTAATTTTATCTAGTATTTACTTCCAACTTAATTTCTTATTAGAGGAACCATTATTAATAATTTTTAATTTGTAGTTACTTTTAACTTAATTTCTTATTAGAGAGAGCAATGTCAACCATTATTATTAATTTTTGACTAGTATCCACTTTCATTTTGATTTTTATGTGCCAGTAAAAATTTTATTTTACTTACTTTGATTTTTACTTACTACTAAAATATTAATAACAAGGAAAACAAAATGACAACTGAAACTACTCAGAATCTTGAAAAAAACCTGCACTCATAATGAGGACTGGGGCACTTGGAAAGTTTAACCCTCACATGGCATATTGTGGGCAAAAGAGATGAATGGATGGTGGAACAGATTTGGAACCTTAGGAAAAAAAATTTCTTAGAGCTATATGAGATAGGAAGTTGTGGAGAGACATAATCGTCTATGTCCTAAATGGACACAACACATAAAAGTAGCAAATTCAGACACCACTAATACTATGATCATAATTGCAAGCTTTATTTGTCATTGGAAAAAGTCTACCAAAATTATTTTGAACAACTAACAATTCCTGACAAAAAAACTATAGTGCTAGAGGCATGTTGAAATTACAAATTTTTGCATCATGCTTCTAGTTTGACTAAAAGCAGTGGCAACAATATTTTACACATGTTAATGACAGGTGTAAGGAAATGAAATGAATTTCAATAAGGTGATATTTTACTTTTTTTTTTTTTGTTTTTATATAACTGAGTGACAAGAGAGAGAAAACACAGTATGCATGCAAAAGAAAGAAGATATTAAAAGTTAGGAATTGTGTTTGTGATATACATGTTTGTGTCATGTGTGTGTATGCATGTATGTGTAAAAGTTCTGTTACTAATGGGAAAGATATCCCCATGCCTGAGAAAAAGGTCCCAGTGGTGTTGTTACTAAAGCATTCTGGGAGAAAAGAAGATGAAGAAATAGAGAAAAGAAGATGAAGACAGGAAGTGTTCCATTTTTATAGATGCTTAACTGCACCCTCTAATGACTTTTTGGCAAAACTTGCAAAGCTAAGCACACAGTCATTTTCCTTTCTATCATCTTTATCCTTGAATGATTATTTTTCCAGGCTTTTTCACTTTTCCAGTCTTTAATCATTTCTTTTGGGTTATTTTTTTTTCTGGAATGTCAGCTGTCTGATACTGATACCTTAAGGAATCGCAACATCTCTGCGCCAGTTGGTGGTCGAGGTAGAACACGAAGTATGAATGGAATGTTCCAGACAGGCAATCCCATAATTACTCGGGACAGCAAAACTGGACTGACCATCACATCATCTCCTCTGGTTAGTGTCTGTTTTTCTTTTTAATCTTGTAGCTCTGTTGAATTGAACAGTGGATTAAATATTGTGTTTATTTTGAAGCCTAAGTCAGGGCTTCTCAAAGCAGTCAATATGACCCCCCAGAGATTGACAGCACACTTCTAAGGGGAAAAAATATTACAAGTCACTAGACTGGTGGGGAAGAATTTTAGGGGTTGAAAGCAAGTATTGTATAATTGTATAATCTAAGAAATTATTAATTCAACTTCATTTGACATCATAGAGTCCATAACTCCATAACTGGACTCTGTAATCTTTTCAATAGATGTATAGTAGAAACCTCTACCATGGCTACTGGTTATGTAGCCTGGTGGGGGGGGGGGTTATTGAATCTAAAGTTGTCCTCCTCCTTGACTGGATGCTGACTAGAGAACCTATTTTGCCCTGCTATTTAATCCATAGCTGAGGGAAGAAATGTGGATTCATATATCTCCCAAGAGTATTTGTGCAAAAGTATGTGTCAAATGAATCCAGTGCATCCAAACAAATGCTGACCAACTGTAGCAGAGGTCATATTCGTGGAAAAAATCCTTAGTAGTAGTTTCAATGGAAATTTAGATTCACAATTCCTCCCTAGCCACATGTAGACACTCTTTTAGGATAGTGCTATCCAGTTTGAATTCAGAGTTTCCTTCTCCTAAACTGGTTGCCACACAAGGCTAGAAGACCCAGTCTGTCCTGCTATTTTAACCATAGTTGTCAGGAGAAGAAATGGATTCATACCTTTCTCAAGGGTATTAGCATGTAAGTGAATGTAATAAACTCAACTGGAATTTGAACTTAGCTCTCCAATTCCTCAATCCAAGCTGCTAACCATTAGTCCACCTTGCCTGTTTCCCTGTCCACAAGTGTTTCCTAAAATCTATTCTCAGAATTTTCAACATCTCTTGCCTATTTTGACTTCCCTTTGGGGTAAGCTCTAAAAAATATTCTATTGTAGGATTGGTGCTGGCTCTAGGGCTTCTGTAATACAGAACCATCACTTTACAACAATAAGTTTTCTTCCACATGGGAACTCGAACCAAACAGGCTTACCACCTCAGTCAGAATGTTCAGAGGTAGTTAGCACTGGGACTTGTGCAGGGTTACTATCCCTGGCTTAAAATTACAGGTGATATGATTTTTGCAAGTCTCACTCTTTTACAACAATCAAAAAGAGCAACAACATACTTTTTTTTACCTCTTACAACATTCTAAAATATACTTACATCATAAAAATAATTTTTCACTTTGAAAATTTCTACTGAGGATTGTGTATAAACCTTTAGGAACTTCAAATGGTGAAGTTCCTTTCTTTGATGTGTAACTGGTCTGCTGATCCTGTTATATATCTTGAGATTCTTGATGAAATCTAAAAAAGTTTCTGCAATGTTATTGGTCCTGACCTGGCATTTTGACTTCAGTGACATTTCCTTCATGGTAATGTGGCTTCCCTCTGGTTTTTCTGTAAATATTTTTATGACAATTGTTCTAATGAGCTTTCCTCTTTGGTATATCAACTGCATGAATTTAAAGATAGTACTAGACTGGCAACTAGGACTCATGGTTTTACTGTTGAAATAGCTTGATATTACTATAAGTTCTATTCTAATAATTTCTTTTCTTGCACTTCTTCTTTGTGGAAGTTTCTTTTTGCTTCTTGCATTCCTGTCACCTACAATCTTCAAAAGTTTAAATGCAATCTCGTTCACCAACTTCTGTCTTCCTGAAACCTGTTCTTTTATTGTCTTCTCATCACAAACATTTTCTCATCTTCTTTCACTCACAGTAACCCTTGGCATCTCAGAGGCATTATTGCCTTGCTTAGGATGAAATGATTAAAAAAGTAGAAAAAATATACTGAGAAAACACTAATAATTCTGTCAATATATTTAATCAATTTATCTTATAATTAATTTTTTTGAATCCTGGACTTGTTCTTTCTTCTTGTTGTCCACTGTGATTTAAAATTATTTTATCAAAATGTTGTGAATGTTGTCTATTTCATTACACCTTTTATCATTATTTACCCTGACTCATATAAGTCTATAAAATATTGTTTGTGGAACAGACAATACAGGAGTCGTAAAAATGCTTATTTATCCCATTCCGCAAGAGGTATTTAATCTTTCACATGAAAAATAACAATGTAACATACTAAAAATGTCTAACAAAGTAAGTTGTACTCTTATGATATTTTCAAAGCCTCTATTAAATCAAATGCTTATCTTTTAAAAGTAATGTCTTTTATTAAAATAAAACTGGCAACTACTCTTGAAAATGACCTCTAATGAGTGGTTAACTGGGCCAAGAAATGGTTCATAAATTTTAATGGCAAAAAAGCAAAATTGCTTTCATTTAATCACCACAGAGAACCTTTTCTGTCTGCCATCAGGATGGCTAATGCTGAACACCAGAAGAGCAACACTCTACACCTTCTTCACGTCACATTTTCTACTGGCATAAAGTGTAGCATCTATATTATGTCAAATGCTATGTCTGCTGCAAGGAAGGTTGATTCACTGTGTCATGCCAAAAAATTTTTCTTGTCAGAATCCATCTTGCACATTTATAAATCTATCATTCATCTGCTTATTCAATACGGTTGTCAAATCCTGTCTGTAGCTCCTGCTATGCGTCTTGAGATTCTTGATAAAATCCAAAGAAGGATCTGTAATGTAATTGATCTTGACCAGGCATCTTGTCTCCAATCACTTTCTCACAAATATGATATGACTTCCCTCTCTATATGTTCCACAAATATTTTCATGGTAATTGGCCTGATGAGCTTTTTTTTCCCTGGTGTCCCAGCTAGATGAATTTAAGCCTGCTACGAGATTGGCAACTAGGTCATCTCACTGTTTTATGGTTGAACTAACTAGATGTAACTGCCACTTCTACTGTGACAGTTTTTTTTCTTGCACTTCTTACCTGTAGAACTTCCTTCTGATTTCTTGTTTCCCTGATAACTACAATCTTCAAAAATCTAAATGCAATGTCAATTGACATCTTCTGTTTTCTTGAATCCTGTTCCTTTTTTGTCCTTTCCTCCATCCCTATTCTCAGTCTTCACATTTTCTTTCACTTTCACTCCCTGTAAGCCCTCTTCTCTGCGTTCTAGTGGCATTGTTGCCTTACTTGGTATGAAACAAAAAGAAAAAAGGTGATATTGTGAGAAATAGAAGTTATGTATAAATATAACAATTTATATATAAGCCTTTCAAAACCTTTATTTAATACTAACCCCATTTTGTCGCTGATAATTCATAAACATGTTTTATCAATATTTGCTTTGAATCTGTGAACTGGTTTTGCATTATGCCATCTACAATGATGTTGAATTGTTCTATCAAAATTTTGCCAATGTTTTCCATTTCATTACACCTTGTATCATTATTTATCCTGACTCACATACCCTATAAATTATTGTTTGTGGAGTTGTAAAAGTGATTATTAATCTCATCCTTCAACGTTATTATTATTATTTACTTTTTGGCATCTCACCAAACACACTTGGAAATTGTATGTTTTTGTTCTAAATATTCTGAATGTCTATGTGCTTTTTTAATAATCTATGTTAATTTTCTAGCTAACCAAAATTCATCACAAGCTTGTAAACTCTGTACCTTTATTCTTAACATAAGGTTAACTTCTTCATTATTTTAAAAACAGACAATTTTTTTTTTAACTTGAAAACCATAAAAAGTTTTATCTTGTTATACATACATTATCCTTTCACTTGAAATCGCATTTTGAATCAGAAATACCATTATGAAGACAAAACAGATTTTGTGCTGCATTCACCTTTCCAAAATGATTAGTAGAATTACTGTTTTTTCCAATTATTAGTCATAGAATAAACTAAGTGGAAATTAGGTCTTCTCAATTATAAAATCCTTCTTAATGGGTAGGTCACTGAAGGTAGTTATTAACGGCCAATCCTCCAGGGTTCACTTCTTTACCAACCATCTTTTTTGCTTTACATAAATGATCTGCCTTAGAATATACTTAAATCATTTGTGAATATCTATGCTGATATGACAATATAGAGATGTACCTTTTAAACTCTTGATGATTATAGATTGGCAGCTAATCTCTCATCCGATCTAGCACTAAGTCCTCAGTGGAGAAAAACTCACTGGTTACATTCAATGCCTCAAAAACCAAAGTAGGTACATTTCACCATCATTGATCAGACCCTGAACTACCACTAGTCATGATGAATGGATGTCCTCTTGTAGTCTCTCTATGCCTTCAGAAACCTATTGGGCCTTAAACTTATATCTGACCTCAAGTGGAACTCATACATACAATTCACTGCAAAAGACGCAGGAAAAATAGTTGATTCCCTGTCCCTCTCTAATAAGTACCTGACTCTGAATGCTATCCTTTAGCTTTACAAGAGTCAGATTAAGACTAAAATGGATTACTGCTGACATATTTGAATGGGAGCTGCTCAGTTCTCACTTTCTAGTCCCAACAGAGTCTAAAAGCGTCTCTAAGTCCTTGTGGGTGACATATTATTTTCCACCCTCACAGGTGGGATATGGTAAGCCTCTCGCAGCTATATCGCTACTTCCATGGAAAGTGCTCAGACAAACTATATTCCTTGGTTCCACCAGTTGTAATCTTCATGGCTATGACCCACCATGCTACTCACCTTGTAGCTAATCAACCATATTCCCCCCATATTTCAAACAGCTTCTTCCCATGAACCACTGCTCTGTGGAGCCAACTCCCAAGATGATGTTTCCCTAATCACTACAATCTTAACCTGTTCAAGTCTGGAGTTAACTGTTACTTTCCCCACCTATCTTCACAAACTGCCTCTTAACGTAACCCTCTACCTTGTATAGAGTTAACCTTATTGTAAAAAAAACATTTGTCTTAGTAATAAAATATAAGAGGAGTGAATGAACTTGTATATATTAAGTTATCCTTTTTCATAAGTACATGTGTGCAAAATCCAATTAAAGATATTTAGTGACTTACATTTGGGAAGAATTCTTTCTTGTTTTGATAGAATTAAGTGTGTCTGTATGTAAAGTAATCCAAGCATCCATTGTATGCTGTGTATTCTCTTTGTTCTGTTCAATGTAACATGATGTTTGCTAGTTGCCAAAAGACCCTCAAAAGAATAAATAAACACATTTTATCTATAAGTTATCATGTGTCTGTGGCAAAAAGAGGAAAGGAAGATGAAACTTTGTGTCCTTTTCTTTTATATTGGCTTTTGGCAACGTCATCTGGCAGATAAATGAGGTAGTCCCACAGATTTTTTTTAAATATCAGAGGTTAAAGTTTAGTTTTATATATGTTTTTTTTTATTTTCAGTAATTGTGATAACTTTATTTATTTTATACATGTTTCCATATTGTAGTAATGCTTTCATTTATTCAGCACAAGATTAGTACCATCATGGCTGACTGGATGGTATCTACACAGGGTGGTCTGAAGTGCCTTGTCACCCCCTACCAAAAAGTGATGAGATCAATAGAAGAACGAGTAATACAAAGCATATATATCACTTTATTTACTTTCATTGACACTGTCACGCATCGAGGAGGTCTGTATGAACACCATCATTTTCATGTAGGATCGTGTGTCAGCCATCTGAAATAGAGAATTATATTATGTAAGGGTGACAAGATTTTCGGACCATCCTGTATTTTGTCATCTTGTGTGAAGCAGGCAGCTTTTCTCTTTTGCTAAAATATATGAATTGCTGTCATGGATATTGTCATGTTTTTTGTTGATTATAACCTAATAAATACATTATACCTGTAATTTTATGTTAATAACATCTGCTAATAGTACATAACAAAATTTTCCATGTTTATACAGTTCTAGATTCCATCAAATAAATGTCAGCCAATCAAGGGTTTGTGGTTTCACATCTTTCTTTGTACATTAAATTTTCTTCTTGCGAGGATGCAAGGAATACTGCTTTTTCCACTTGAAGGTTGTTGTTTATATATCTTCTAGATATCCTGTTGTCTTGTGCATGTTAATCCCAAATTCGATTCAGTTGGCTTCACTTCCTGTTTATGTCAGTGCACCCACCAACATCCTTTGAGGCCCGACTCTGCACTTGGTAACTATGAGGACACCTCGTGGGTCAAATGGAGTTTCAGTTCCCATTGGGTTTGTTATATTCATTTAAATGCAAATACTCTTGGGAAAGGTAGGAATCCACCTGTTCTCTCCCCAGCTATCTGTTAATTAGTAAGACTTGTATCACTAAATCATTATTAATGCTCCAAAAATTCATACAATCTAAAAATATTTTCTGGCTTTAAATAACCTTCAAAGGGTTGATGAGTCATAGAAAATGAATCAATCAAACCTAGGTCAAAACTCAATCCACCTAGGCTTTTTGACATTTTGAGATGAGCCTGAGTACAAAGCTTACTCTACTTTCTCTTAGGATGAACCCAGTAAATATTGGTATCACAACAGATTGATTCTTCTTAGATCAAAGATTCCTGATGGACATTAAATTCAATTCATTCCTCTGAGATTTCCTGGCATGAGTCACATACTAGAATTTATTCACCAAAGAAATAAAAAATGACTATAGGGAACTGGACCGTGGATATGTTCCTGTAAACTGAGAGGCTTGAAACAAATTCTAATTTAAGTTATTATGCAAAGAAGTGGAAGCATCAGATATGCTTTTATACCATCCTTAGCAAATCATTGAAACGTACAAAATATATTAAAAGATCTAGTGTGAGGCTCGCTAAGTTGCATTTTGAGGGTATGGTGCCTTGAAGAAGAAGTAGAGGAAAAGCAAGACAGAGATGAAGGGATAATATAATTATGTGGTCACCAACAGATGGGCAGACGTTAAATAAGCTTGCTCAAGATGATGATAAATGGTGAGAAATAAGGTTATAAGTTTCTGCTGCTAATTTTGATTTAATAAATTACACCATTCTTTTTTCCAGTGAGCTCTGCACTAGATTTTTTTAATATGTTTAGTTCATTTCAAGGATTTGTTAAGGATGGTATGAAAGAGTGAAAGCAAATTGGTTATATTTCTAAGAGTGATTATTTTCACTTTGTCAGTCATCTTGTAATCTGTGATGATATATATACGCAAATATTACACTTTCTTAAGACACACAATCTGCCATTTTCTATTAAGAATGCAAAAAAGAGTTTTGACCTTGTATCCCATTTGTATTGTTTAAAAAAACATAGTTTGATCATCCTTATGTATCAGATTTGATCAAACAACTGTATCATTTTAAAAGGTCTTTCTTATTAACTTCAACTAAGCATTAATTCCTAGAATAGACAAATTCCCTCATCTTTTTTCACTTTTGTTTATTCATATATGACATCTCAAACAGAGATTAAGTGCTTCAGTCAGTTATTTGCTAATTTTTTATGCCTGCATTTAGATGCTAAAACAAAGAAACTTTAACCATCTCAAGCATATATTATAATTCTCAAAGCAACAGATAGAGTATACTTTGCCACTCTCTCTTTCATGTGTAGTTTCTTACTGAAAACTTATATAGCTCACTATCAAGTCCTCTGTTCTATTTAAATAAATAAACAGCAAATTCAGTCTGTCTGTTCATGTGGCTGACTCCCCTCTAACTCAGGCCACACTTGCTCTACATGGACATACCTTTTTGGAATCAGGATGATCCTGGGATTGATAATCTTCCCTTTATTTGGTGCTTGAACATCCAACATTGGGATTTGTGTCCAGATTAGAGGGAACAGTTAAATATTAATGTAACTGAAAAAAAACTTTAATGATTTTAAGAGTTTTTAATTTATACTGAGTTTAAAGTAGCACAAAAACTTTTTTTGTTTTAAATTCAGTTTAAAATATTCCCCAGACTTTGTGAATTGAGGAAATCAATTTTATTTCTTCAAAATGTCAAGGAATCAGTTAAAGTGAGAGGTTTCATGATGGTTTATTTTTCAGGTTTTTGAAGTTCCACATAGTTTTTGTGATTCGATGATTTTGGCCAGAATTGGACTTATAGCCGAATCAAAGATTAAGTGAAGTTTTGAAGTTCTATTGGAGGAATTGAGCAATTCAAAGTTATTTCTTCAAAATTATCATGGCTGTTTTCTAAGCTGGACCAGAGGTCCTTTTAGTTTTGGGCTCATTTAGCCTTCCGCAGGAGCTTGCTTAAAATTTTGCACAGGGTACAGGTTTTAAGCTAGTTGCTGAATAAAACTGAAAAAAAAAATAAACTCAGCTTCACTGACATCCAACAACACTGAAATAATTCTACAATTTTTATTTTCAGTTTTAGGTGCATTGACAACTTTTTTGTATTAAGATTCTCATGTCCCATAGAACTATTGGCTTTATAATCACACTTTTTTCATCCATGATGCCTACTCTCAGTATACAAATGTGTATATTGTTTTAATTTCATTATTGCAGGTTCGGAACCAACGCCCAGTCTCTGCAAAGGATTCAAGACCCAAACCAGTGTTTGGTCGACGACAATTCAATAACAGCATCAACAACTGCTCCGGAGGTGCTCCAAAAGCAACATTTGGCAGTTATACACAGTCATATGGCACCATCACTGCAAGTGGCTTGGCTTCTTTGCAAACCAAGAAGCCTTAAACTTGTGGAAACTCAATTAACATTCTATTTTTTGTCCTTCAGTCAAAGCCAGTTCTACATTTGTGCTCATTCTGACTTTACGCAGTTGGTAAATTTGTATATCACCAGCAATAAAGCATTTAATAAAGGGTGCATTGTTTTGATAATATTTAAATAGACACATGATTATGTTTATACTAGCAAAGTACTTGTCAAATAAAGGGATTTTTTTATGCACAGATCAACACATTTTTCTATGATCAGCATATCTGTTCATTTTCTGTCTTGGATTGAACTGTCACCTTTCAGCATTTTTATGTAGGATCAATGTAATATGTGCACACTCTAGAACAAGGGTCGGCAACCTAAGGCCCTCGGGCCGGATCCGGCCCGCGAAGGCATTTTGACCGGCCCGCGAGCCTGGTTACCAATGACTCTATTTTTAACATGAGAGACGAGGCTTTCGAATTAGACTATCTTTCATGAGACTTATTTTACCAAGTTGTGTTGCCTACGTTTACTGGATACATATTTGTTATGACCCTTGGCTACATTAAAAGATAACAGAAGCGAAAGGAACGATAAAGTGAAAGAGGCCAGGGAGGGACTGACATGCGAGCTAGCAAAAATCTAAAGACAGTTAAACATACGCGCGTTATACATACATGCCTCATGAATGTGTGGATGATACCGCATGTGTACGTACGTAAGTGTATATGTTTGCAACTATTTGTACTCGTATGTATGGGTATATGTGCTTCGTTTTTGTTTGATGTGTGTGTGTGGTTCGTTTGTGGAACAGTTTTCAATAACAGTTTCAAACCTACACGTCATAATTTCATCCATTTCACTTTGGTTGATTTTTTTCACTTTGAAGTATTTTGACGTTCCTTGAGGAAAAGTAATTTTTGTTAGGTGTTTTTTAATTTTAGATTTTCTTTTGTTTTTCTGATTTCTCAATGTTTATTTTCATTATGGTTTTAAATATTTAGGTTGACAGGGGTCTGCATATGTAATTTTCCTTAATTTTTCATTAATGACCTTCGTCCGGCCCGCAACCCGTCATTATAACATGATCCGGCCCGCGGGGTCAAATGAGTTGCCGACCCCTGCTCTAGAAACAGTGTTGCAAACACACACATACACACACATGTATATATATCTTTATTAAAGATTCTTGGAAAGATTACATTGTTGAGAAAAAAAGAGATGTCTTCTCAAATAAGTGTATCCTCTAAAATATTTACAGTAATGAGAAATAATGTCGCATTAAAAATCTATTAATTCCTGAGAAATGACTTTGCTTACATTTCAGATACAAAAATAAAGTTAGCAGATATGGACATCGAAATATCTTAATGAGGATGTCCTTTCCTTGCTTTTGGGG